TGACCAATGTCCTCTCAGAACCATGAGTGTGTGAATGAGTCTGACTGGGTGGGTTTTGCCAACTTATTAGCATATCTGGGAAGAGGGAATCGTAACTGAGAAAATGCTTCTGTGAGATGAGTCTATACACAGCCCTGCCGTTCATCTTTTTGATAAGTGATTGATGTGAGAAGGCCCAGCCTGGCCCAGCCCACTGTGGGCGGTGCCACCTCTGAGCAAACTGTCCTGGGTGGTGTAAGAAACAGGCTGAGCAAGGTACAAAAAGCAAGCCATCAAGCAGCAGTAGCGGTCCCTCATAGTTTCTGTTCCTCGGTGTTTCCGCTTCACTTCCTGCCTTGGCTTCCCTTAATGACAGGTTGTGTTGAGGACCTGTGCGCTGAAACAAACCCTCTCCCCCTCAAGTCCCTTTGTATTTATCACAGCAATTGAAACCCTGATTAAGACAGCCTAGCCCACCACTCTGCCACTGCTCTGTCCTCGGGCTATTGTTTTCCACTTGTTTGGTTTGGTTCTTTGACAAAATTTATTCATTTATTGAAGACACTCCTCTAGCACCCAGTGGTATCTGAAAGCAAGGGAATGCCAGGCAAGATCACAGCAGTTAAGCAAGAGTGCTGCGTGTGTTAGGAGATGGCAGAGCCAGCCTCCGGGATTACCAGGCTTCCGCTTGAGCATGTGCTCCGCCTCGATGGCTGTGATTTCTGACACGGTGGTGAACACATGTGCGCAGTGCACCGAGGCCCGCTCCATGCAGTAGCGGTGATAAATCTGCCTCTCCCCTGCCTCCTTGTCTATGTCGAACTGTGGAAGACAAACACATGTTCCTTGCCCCATCCTCTTCACAAGCAAAACAGAACCCCTAGTCCACAGTTGTTCTTCCTCACAGCTGGTACATATCACACCACCTGCTAAATTATAAAACTGGTATTTTTAAAAATATTGCTTGCTTCATGTCTTCCAGATTGTTATTTCATCCCCATGAAATTTTGACATTTTGTTGCATGTTTTCTTATTCCACAGTTTATAAGTATACAGATAATTCTAACCCCCAAGGATTTTATATTTTACCACAAACAAGGAGCTATAAAAAGGCAGTGTAGCAGAGTAATTCAGCAAAAGTGTATTGGGTCCATAAAATAAAAAAAAAAAGTTTTGAAAAAATGGGGACTGGAGAATGGCTCAGTGGTTAGGAGCACTGGCTGCTCTTGCAGAGGACCCAGGTTTGATCTCAGAGCCCACATGGCAGCTCCCAACCATCTGTAACTCTAGTTCCAGGGGATCTAATGTACTCTTCTGGCCTCAGAAGGCACTTGGCACACACATGGTGTATGGACAGACATGTAGACAAAATACCTATACCGATCAAATAAAATTAAAAATTAAAAAATTAAACAAAGCTGACACTAAACTTGAAACTGAAAGTTCGTGTAATTATTATCCTATTTAATTTGAAAGAGAAAAAATGAGAGATTTCTTTTCTCAGTTACTTACTCCTTTTAAGTTAATTTCAAAGAGTGTAAGCTCACTTCATAGTATGTCAGGTTTTAGGATCTGTCACTCTTGATAACAATCTTAGTGTAATATTTCTATGAGATTTTTGTGGGCACATTCCAGATATTTTAGCTAAAAACAAGCAAAACAACAAAAAAGACCCAGAAACCAAATCCTCAGCAAACCCTTAAACTTCTTTCATTTCACTTACTTGGGGTCATATCTCCCTGTGACACTGGCAGTATTTTAAAAGAAAGTATGATAAATATACATACGGCGTCATCGGGTGTCTCCAGTGCGGCATTCAGCTCTGCTGTTTGTCATGTTTAATTCTCAGAAATCGCACATGTTCTGTCTTCATTTTACAGAAGGGAAATCTGAACCTTTTAGAGGCCAAGGAACTTGGCCAGGGTCACATTTCTATTAAATGTCTTAGTTGAGGGGTATAATTTGATATGTTTATATATTGCCTAAATTAAACCTAGTGTGAACTCAGGTACTCCTGCAGTTAAGAAAATACTTATAAATATGACACAAAACCTAATTTCTGACTACTTGCTATCCATTAGTGACTGACAGAACCGTTCACTAGAATGAGGGGTTGAAATACATAGCATATATATATAAACATGCTTGAGATTTGTAGTTATCATTGAAGGCATAAAGATGTAACTATTCAAAAGGCTTGTCATCTGTCTGTGTACTATAATGTCTTTGTTCCTAAAAAGGACACCCATTGCACATTATTAGATTTTATTGATTGCTGATCTCTAAGACCACCAAGTAGTCTTCACTGACAGGCTCCAGGGGTCTGTAAGGCCAGAGGCTTGACCTTCTGGCCACATACTGCCAGGGTGCTCACCACAGGGCGCTGGTTTGCCCTCATTAGTTGACTGTTACCATACATTGTTTGTCGGTCTCCTTGGTCTCCTGGCTTCCTGAATCCCTTGTTGACTTATTGAAAGCCTGGATCTGCGCGTGGGCTGACCTTTCCGTAGGGCAGCTCTCATTAGCGCCGCTGTCTGAACTGTCAGGGGCTCTCAGAAGGCCTGTCCTTGCATTCCAAACGTGTTCGAGACAGAGGCATCAACTCCCCTGGACACTGATTACTATTCACGCGTGTGCATCCACAGATACACATTCTGATTCATAGGATCCCAAAACTTTAAGCTGGGTAAGTTTTTAAAAATTCAAGTTTTCAATTTTCTGATTTTTGTAATAGTGAAATCAAACCTTTAAGCCCTAAACTGACTAGATAAGTAAACTAGATATTAAATGCACACTGTTTTAATTAATGGCCATCGAATGTGTGCTTTTGATAATCTTTCTGACTTTATAAAATAAAATACTTTGGGGGTATAGAGACCGCTCAATGGCTAAAGGCATGTGCTGCTCTTACAGAGGACCCGAGTTCAATTCCCAGTACTCACTTGAGCAGTTCACAACTTGTAACTCTAGCTCCAGATAATTTAATGTCCTTTTTTTTTAAAAAAATATTTGTTTATTATATATACAATATTCTGTCTGTGTATATGCCTGCAGGCCAAAAGAGGGTACTAGACCTCATTACAGATGGTTGTGAGCCACCATGTGGTTGCTGAGAATTGACTTCAGGATCTTTGGAAGGGCAGGCAATGCTCTTAACCACTGAGCCATCTCTCCAGCCCATTTGATGTCCTCTTTAGACCTCCAAGGGCACTTGCACGTTTTGGACACACACTCACACAGACACATAAATAAAATTAAAATTGAGAAGATACTTCTGTCATGACAGTTTAACTGAAAATTAAAGAAAGATTAAAAACTAAATGATCTGAGGTCACAGATTTGGGCACTAGGTAAAATAGGTCATGAGGTGCCCACCTTCACTTCTTGTGACATCTGCTCACTGGCCTTGGAAAAACCTCACCTGTGAATTCCAGAATTCCAGAAAGAAGCTGAGGCATTTGCTTAAAGCATCTCAATAAATAACTCAAGCAGGGGATAGAGAGAGAAGGCTCAGATTCCGGGTCTGCCTAAGATCCCGGCTGTCTGTCTGTCAATCATCAGACCTTGAATCTGGGGAGGAAGAGGAGCCCGTGCCTGGCAGTACAGTGTCACCTTTCTGTTATGTCCGTCTCAATCCCTGTCCTCAGGGAGCAGAACTCGGGCCTCTCAGCCTCTGTACTCCACTGTACCCCGAATAAAGTTAAACTTCCTCCACCTCTGTCACCCAGGGGAGACTGCGCCATGAATTCTGATGAGCTAAAAGGGCATTGCTGCCATGTGGTTGTTAGCTGAAATGTAGAGATCAATACCTTTCATCTTTGGGCTTCAACGAGCTTGAAGAAAAGGGGACAAGTGGGGCCGGTGGGTGGTTTACCTTGTCAAGCTGGTTGTAGAAGTCAATATTTGCTGCACAGAGATACCGCCCAAGCAGCGTGGCATGGGTTGTAAATATTGTGGCGATGGGAAGCTTCCTGGCACGAGAAAGGATGAGCCCAGTTCCAGCCTGCCATTCATGGAATTGGGCAATGACATGTTTGCCGTCCGCGTGGTCTGTCACCTGCATCAGAAGGAAAGCCTTTAGTGATCGCTGTCACTTGATCTTGAGCATTGCCCACAGCAGAAGGACAGATGTGAGGTGTATAAATCGTATCCCTCTTAAAGGGGTCTAAAGAAGAAGCATGAGGACTGAGCAAGAGGAAGGAGTCACTGGCTCATTAGTCAAATCCGTATGGTTTGATGTCTTAATCCTCCCTTTTAGTAATGGGTCAGATTTATTTTTGTATCCACAGAATAAATACAAATAGGATTAACAGATAATAAACATCACTGTTAGTAACTTGGATAAACACGAAATTGGCAGCAATATTCATTGAGTAACTGACTCAATAACAGAAGTAATACTTCTGAGGAAATCAAGGGAATCCACTGAATCTACCTATGTGAGCTTCTTTCACACCCAAACCTCTGCATGTGAATACATCCCACACCAAACATGTGCACACCACACACACAAACACACACACACACACACACACACAAATATACCCCCCCACACAAATATACTCACCCAAGATACACAAATGCACCTTCACAGTAAGTACATACATACTACATACATACAACAAAAACAACCCACAAATACACTCCACACCAACCACACACACATACCTTCCCACATAAATACACCCACTCACCAAACACATATTTACCATGTATACCACACACAGACACACAAATATACACCCACACCAAACACATGCGTACGCACAGACATACACAGACCCCTCACCAAACACGTATTTACCACATACACCACAACAACACACACACATACACATACAAATATACCCCCACACTAAACACATGCATACGCACACACACACACACACACACACACACACACACACCCCTACACCAAAGACAAGCACACTACACACAATACCGGTTGGTGGCTGGTCTCTAACTTGGAGCCATGGCTCAGACAGGAAGACTGTAGAGGAAAAGTTGGTGGCACTTACTGATACCACGGGACTGCATATCTGTCATTATGACAGACTTTTCCCAAATCACTACCCTGTCTTCCCTTCTGCTACTACTAAGAAATCACCTGTCCACCTTCTCCAGTCAGCCCTTGGTGAGTATTGCATAGGACTTCATCAGACAGATGTGTTAAGGGGAACACCATCACAATACTGTGCCCTTAGCTCCCTCCTTTCTAGGGGTCTCCTTCCTTAAGATCTGACCATCTGAAGGGGATGAGAGGCACGCGCGGAAATCCTGGTACCGTGCTTTGAGAAGGTAAGAGACCCGAGGCTGGACCCATTTACGAAACTGGCTTCTGGTGGTCTTCCTCTGTACCTCTCTAGACTAATCTGCTGCTAAGGACTCCTCAGTAGCTGCTGAGTCCACTTCAGTCCTCAGTGAATGAAGGAAATATCAAGAAGTCACTCTAAGTTCAGCTGCACTCATACATAGACAAAATGGACTGTTTTGAGTCTTTTCTGCTGCCTAGAATTTATATGTATTCTTCGTGACATATCTCTCTTATGCATATATTTTGCATATCTTCTATATGAGCAGGCAATATAGCTGGGTGTTTCATATGCATGACTTCATTTAAATATTCCATGAGATAAGTAGTGATAAGTATTACTATTCTGTGGCCAAGGTTGGTAGTTAAGGAATGGCAAATACTTCCTTGAAATCATTTTTAAAATGCATTATGACAATCAATAGAAGCCTTATCTCTAAATTCTTGGGTCATTGCTGGGTCCTCAGTGCAGGAGACTGCTCTCTGTTCTGTCATTATACAGCACACTGTACCTCTTTTAAGAACCAGGCAGTTAAAGACCCAAATATAAGCATGTCGTTGGCTTCTCGGTCATGATGAGGGATGCCAACGCTACATGCTTCCCAGAAGTCACCCTTCCACCTGTCCAGGTTCCATGCTGAGGAGCTTATGTCAAAAAGCACCACGTAGGGACTCCCTTCTATCAGCCATCTTCCAAAGTACACCTGATACAGAAAGAAAACATAGCCAGTGTTTCTTTAAGTACAACATAAGAGAAGAATGTACATTTGGGCTTGGAAGATGTAAACATTATTTGCAGAGGGTTAGGATTTGAATGGGAAATGTCCTCTATTGGCTCATTTGTTTGAACATTTGGCCCCAGTTGATTGTACTGTTTGGAAAAGTTGTGGAGCTTTCGTAGGTAGAGGCCAACTAGAGGTAAGCCTTGGATTTCTATAGGCTGCCCTGCACGCTGTCCTGGCTGTCCTGTCTGCTGCCCTGTCTTCCCTGCCCCAATGGACTACATCCCTCCAAAACTGCAGGCCAAGTGAGCCCTTCTCCCTCACTCTTGTTAGAGTGTTTTTATCACAGAACAGTGCCAGTCCAAGGGTTAATGTGAAATCGTTCTCCAAAGACAAAAGTTTATGTATCAGACTCTTTCTTTCCGGCCACCACCCAGCTCCCAAATCATGACACATAGACTTATCATTAGTTTTGAATGCTCGGCCTAGTGTAGGCGCATTTCTGACAAGCTTGTTTAACTTAAATTAACCTATTTGTCTTTATCTACCTTTTCCATGGAGTTTATAACCTTTCTTACTTCTCTATATCTTAGTTTCACGGCTTATTTATGTCTGTCTGGATGATATTTGTCTGGCTTCTTGCCTGGTTATGTCCCTCATTCTCTATTCCTTCTCTCATGCTTCATCTTTCTCCTTTATTTTTATATTTGAGCCTAGCTTTCTCCTATTCTCTCTGCCTGATAGCCTTGCCTATACTTTCTCCTGTCTCGCTCAGGTGTCTTAGGCAGGCAGGGTGAAACAGATGTAACACATCTTTACATAATTAAACACACATCCTTACATTGTTAAACAAATGTAGCATAAACAAAAGTAACACACCTTTACACAGTTCAAATAATATTCTGCAGCATAAACAAATATAACATATATGCCTAGTTAAAATAATATTCCATAACAAGTTCTTGTGTTAAATGCCTTTGGAAGTTTGTATTCTTTAGAATTTTCTGTATATAAGATCCATGTCATCTGAAAAATAGTGATAATTTGGCTTTATTATTTTTAATTTAGATACCCTTTATTTCTTTCTCTTGTCTTATTGCTCTAGCTAAGGCTTTTAAAACAAGGTTGCATAAAAATAATAAAATTTGTATACGTTTCTTGTTTTCGAGCTTAGAAAACTTGAAGCTTTTGGATCACAAAGGTACTAACTGACTCAATGGATGATTTCACTCATGAATTTCCAACTAAATAGCTTTAAGAATATGGAGTATTTTTTATCAATCCCTAGCCCTTCCTTGGTACTTTATGCTTGGGTCTACTATGAGCTGAACAACCTCTAACGCATATTCCCACCACTGTGATATTCCATTTCAACACCTCCCAAAGCAATGATGCTAACTAAACACAGACTAAAATTGTTAACTCAAATGATAATTTTCTCCCGTGAATTGCTTCTCAGGTACTCGTCACCATGGCAAAAAGTGTGATTGACACATCAAACTACACAGAAAAGAGTGGTGATAACATCTGACATTTGAGCTTGAAGTTGGAGGGAGCACCTATTTATCTGTGCCACCTACAAGTTCTGCTCTTCATTAAGTGAGGTCATTTGAAAGTCAGGTGTCCGGATCATGTTGTTTCTGCTTTGCTGTCCCTTATTATCTTCTTGTGACTCCGAGTTCATAGATATTAGATTTAATATCATATGTAAGAAGTATCTTGTTATGCAATCCAGTCGGGCTTCCAATTTGGGATTCTTCTACCTTACACCGTGAAGTGCTGGGAGGCTAGGCATGTGGCATGGCTAGTCTGGGGGTTTTGTCTGAATGTATGTCTGTGTGTCATGTGTTCCTGGCTCCTAAGGAGGCCAGGAAAGACTGTTGGATCCCCTGGCACTGGCATAATAGACTTTTCTCCCCTAGCTTCCTTCTGACAGGGTATTTTATCTCAGCAATGAAATATATTATTTCACTTTTTGCAGATGTAAGGTTCTAACAAGGATCCCTGGCCTCATGCATGCTAGTCAATAATCTACCATTGAACTACATTCCCAGCCCTATCACAGCAAAAGAAAAGGAACAAACTCAGAAGCTGTTTGCCCAAAAGTGTGCACTTAGTAAACTGGTATTGAATAATGTCATCAACTCCTATGACCTAGCCACACTTTATGTACAACTTTCTTAAGACTGACTCAACTCTGAATCTTCCTGGGACTCCCACTCATTGCCCTGTTAGAGAATCTTAGTCTTCACAAGGTGCCTCAAATGCCCTCTGTGGAAGAACAGTCACTGTCTCTCTTGCAAATCTCCTCTCCTTTCTTAGCTAGGCAGATGGTGATCTCTTGTGAGTTGTTGGATGGTGTGTATGTTCTGTTTGCTGATCACAGTTCATTGAGAGGTAGAGAGGGATGGGACAATCAGAATCTTTTACCTGGCAGCCGTGTTTGTTCATTGTGTCTATGGCTCTTCTGACAGCATCGTTGGTGGGTTCACACTGCTCTACTTGAGTTTTCATATTATGTTCAAAATATGGACCTATCAGAAGGTAGTTTTCTCCCCATTCATCTGCTGTTGTTTTGGCCTTGGTCTGAATCACAGTACAGATGCCCCCAACTGAAAAGGAGAAACCTATTATTATTATTCCAGCTGGTGATGCAAGAGATGAATTACTATCTATTTCTGTGTAGTGAGGGGCTGCGGGCAGGCCTGCTTTTCGCCTCACCCGGCTCCTGCATGGCTAGCTTAGTCCCAGAAATAACAACACACAAACTGTATTCATTTAAGCACTGCCTGGCCCATTATCTCTAGAGAGTTAGTTCCTGACTAACTCTCATATCTTGATATTAACCCATTTCTAATAATCTGTAGCACCATGAGGTGGTGGCTTACCGGAAAAGATTCAGCATGTCTGACCTGGTGGCTGGCTCCATGGCGTCTGGCTCATAGCCCTCTTCCCAGCATTTTGTTCTGTTTACTCCGCCTACCTAATTTTCTGTCCTATCAAGGGCCCAAGGCAGTCTCTTTATTGACCAATGAAAATAACACAATAGACAGATAACCCTCCTCCATCATTTCTGTACTATTTGAAGTCGCATTTCACTTAACTCTTTTAAAGAACAGGATTTAAGGTGTTTTGAAGAGTTCAATGTTGGGCCTATTCTCAGTCACTTGAGGAGTTTCCCACAGGTCTCACAGAACACTATAGGGACGATCCTGTGTTTATTTCACAAATGAGTAAAGCAAAGCCTGGAGAGACTTTGAGATGGACCCGTCATCACACAGGGGTTGGTATTCCAGCTCAGTCTGACTCCACAACTTCAAGGCAGCAGAGTAAGATCATACCTCAAGACATGGAGCAGCAAATGGATGGGCCTTTGAAAGTCCCCGAGGGCAGAAAGATACAGGGGGAGAATGAGAGTTTCATGAAAAGATAAATGGCATTGGGTTTCAGAGGTGTGATGATGGAAGGTTTTTCTGTTGTGGTCTCAAAAACCCACATGGAAAACAAGAGCCCGATGAGATAGTTGGAAAGTTTAGCTTTCATAAAATTTTTAAATTGCATTATTATTTTTATGTATGAGGGGTGCATGTGTGTCATAGCACATTTATGAAGACCAGAGGACAACTTGCGTATGTTGGTCCTCACCTTCCACCTCGTGGGACCCAAGTTTAGTTGCAGGCACATTTATCTGCTGAGCCCTCTTGTTTCCCTGGTTAAACTTGTGTATATGCATAGAGGAATGCGTGTGTTCATGTACATGAGTCTGCACGTGTGAATGTATTTGTATGTATATACATGTGTATGTGTACACATATGTGTATGAATGTATGTATCTATGTGTACGAGTGTATGTATTTGTGTGTGCATGTGTGCATATGTACATGTATATGTGTGCGTGCAAATGCATGTTTTCTAGATACTTTTGGAATAACAAAAAGAGCCACAGCTTTTTTTATATTTTCTAAATAACCATATTTTTATAGTGTGTGTGACATTTCAGTACTTGTACATTATGCAATGTTGAAGTCAGGGTAAGCGTGCCCACAGGTAATATTACATTCAGTGGAGAGACTCTGAAAGTTTCTCTGCGTAAGAAAGTGCTCATAAAGTCATCACTTCTCTTCAGTATGGTGACGGAAGCCTATGCCAGAGTAGCAAGACATGAGAAAGAAATGACCAGTTTCCAAGCTGAAGAAAAGAAAGTCAGATTGTTGCTATTTGCAGATTGCATGATCTTCTATCTAGAAAATCTACTAGAACTAACAAATCAGTGAAGTTATAGGATTAAAAGTCCTCATTCAAAAGCAGTAACATTTCCATAGGCTAAAAGTAGCTTGCCTGTAAAGAAATCAAGAAAGCATTCTTTTTCACAATAAAATAAAATTTTAACACTTAATACCATCAAAACTCACAGCAACTAGCAAAAGAAACAGTTGACAGAGGCAGCAGAGACTTGTGCAAGACACAGTTTGCTGATTATTAGTCTCATAAAGAATTAATACCAAGAGTATGTAAGAAACCCAGTTCAATAGAGACTCATCACCTCCATATGGTGAGCAGCAGATCTAAATGAACATTTCTCTAATAAACTATTGTTCCTACATCAATCCCTGGGTCATCTGGAAATCTGATAAAAAAAAGATACCAGGTCCTCTTCTCAGAAAAAGTCTTAAATTAGACCCAGTCAGTAGAGAGTTTCCATGCAAGCATGAGGTCCTGTGCAGGGTATTGCACAGACCCACACGAATAGGCAGGGTATTGCACAGACCCACACGAATATGCAGGGTCTTACACAGACTTATGATCCTCACAGGAGAGATGGATGGGTAGATGCCTGGTGCTCTCTAGCCAGACAGTCTAACCTTATCAAGACAGTGAGAGCCTGTTTCAAAAATCGATCCTTCCAGCTGTGTACCAAGCAGCTAACACATCAGTCCGCAGTGGATATTTCCAAACACGGACAATCTTGGTTAAAATCAGTGGTCAGAAAACAAAAAAGGCACGAATGTTCTGTAAGGAAAGGGGAAGATGACAGGTGGGAGAGAGAGGTAAGAGAGTGAGAGCAAGAGTAAAAAGAAAATACGTAAGCAGGATTGTTAAAGAACAAATTTAATTAATGAAAAATGCACATTAGAAGTGAAGGACAAAACGATGCAGGAGATTTGGTACAACTGAAGATTATCATGCGTAAAACAGCCTGGACTCAGGAGAACAAAGCATTACACGTTCTCCGTCATCTGTGGATCTTATGTTTATCTTAAGGTAATAATTTATCGGGAATTTCCCAATCAAGGCCTGATTAGCCTCTCCTCTCTCCACAGACTCCTATTTTCTCTCTCAGGTCTGTAAACAGAGCATACTGTGTATCTTGGTTTACACACAGTGAGTCTTGGGGAGTATAGTTCTCACACACAACACTGTCTGAATTATGGCCTGCTTCACTGTCTTTGCCCAAAGTGATTCAGTTCACAGGTCTCAGCACAGACATCTCTCCAGTAGATAACTTTCCCTTAACTCTAGAGTAGGCTGGGAATTTCACCCTAACCACCCACACACAGTACAAGTCCACAACCTTGTTCTTCTGCCCTCACACCCATCACAGTGGGTTAGGAAATGTAGTCACGACCATCTTCCCGCAAACCTGTGCATGTCAGAGTACTGAGCAAATTCTGCACTGTTCAAGACTGTCTACTCTCCCAGTGATCAACACCTAGTAGACACTTGATGCTTTTTATTAAATAGCTGGGTAGTTGTAATTATATGCAGATCAATGGATAAACAACAATTTGAGGCTAGTGTGGACAAGTAGGAGTGGTTGTTTTGGGGCCTGAGCATAATCTATAATAACTGTGATCCCTTCTCCTTCTGTGTTTTCCATATTCATGTCATTCACTGGAAAATGCTGGCACTGAAGAATTATCCCCCCTCCCCTCAGATGTCTCTTGTGAGCTGGAGAGATGGCTCAGGGGATAAGACAAATTGTTGCTCTTGCGGAGGACTTGATTTCATGTCCCAGCACCACAACCATCCCTAACTCCATTTACAGGGGTCAGATGCCCTCTTCTGGCCTTCATGGACACTTTGTGCACATGGTAACCTACATGCAGGCAAGCACTCAGATGTATAAATTTAATAAAAAGGAAACACTTTTTTAAAGTCTTGTTTTCTTGGCTATGAATACATTTCTCATCCTCCACAAATCGCTGTAGGATAGCTAGAGTATTCTGTATTCATTTTACTCCTGGAGTACCTGATATTTAGATATCCTAAGGATTTTTTTTTAACCCCACAGCTTCAAAAATCTTTAATATTTGACAGCCAAAGTTTTTCATCTATGGAACATTTCCTTAGACAGTGGACATTTTAATAATTAATTTTTATATGGATTCGAAAGAGACAAAAGTGTTCTTTCCCATCTCTGCCATTTGTGAGGTCACTGGGTGCCCCTATGTGTCCTTTCAGCTATGAAGTGGGCGGGGGGGAGGTCATGATCTCAAAGATGCCTCGCATCATACCACAAACTGCACAGGACTACAGCCTCGAGCTAGGTTTTTCAGAGGAGCTACAGTAGGAATGAAATGTCAGGGAGGGCTGGAATTACTATCTATCTAAATAGAACTTTAAAAATTAGATTGAAAATATGAAATATATGTTGAAGATGTCAACGTGAGTAGATGGCCATTTAAAGCCATCTAACAGGGGCTGAGAGATGGCTCAGCGGCTAAGAGCATTCGCTGCTCTACCTGGGTACAATTGCAGCTTTCTTATGGCTGCTCACACCCTCGGTAACTGTAGTTCCAAGAGGACAGACGCCCTCTTCTGGCCCTTTCTGCACATGCAGGCAAAGCATTCATACAGTACATAGAAACAAAAATAAATAAAATGTTTGAAAAAATAAAAAAAGTCAGTTGAGCATGTCTATATGACAGGGACCTCCCTAGAGCCAGAGATCTACACAAATGTCACCTAGGACCCACGGGACTGCAACTTTCATGAATGATCTCTAAGGCCCCATTCATGTTTGTTCAATGGAGAGAAGAACCCTGCTGTTGTCAAGGGTCTGTGCATGGCTCTTCAGGACTGATTCCCAGCACTAATTCTCCCCAGCTTCCCACCTCCAAAAGCTCTCTCACTGAATTTTTGCCTACTCTACAGAGAAAAACCTTTCTTTCATGGGACACATGGATTCCTGTGTAGTAGAAACGGCCCGGTTCCTAGGAGCCCTGGCCTTTCTCAGAAACTGGAGAAAAAAAAAATGGTGACTGGAAAGGGGCATTTGAATGAGTTGTGCATGTAACATTCCCCTTTCTCGGTGCTAAGATGGGGTCCTCTCTGCTCTTCCTTGCTAATACAGAGGAAGAAGAGCTTGTTCTCCGAGCTTCATCTGGGCCCTTCTAAACAGAAGTATTAACCCTTCTTTTACGTATTTTCTAAATACATACCAGAGAACTTTGGACAGTCAGCATGAAGTGGAAATCAGGACAGAGTTCAAATACAGCTGTGTGTGTGTGTGCGTGAGCTTGTGTGTAGGTGCACGTGGTGCACTTGTGGGCCCATGTTCCCATGGGTGCTCGTGTGAGGGCATGAGCACACACACAGGGAGGCCAGAGGTCAACAGGGGCCTCTTCCTCAGGGCTTTGTTTTTTGAAACAGGGTCTCTCAGCTGCCTGGAGTTTAGCAGTTCTGCTAGGCTGACTGGCCAGTAAGCCTCTGGGGTCCACCCGTCCCCACTTGCCCAGCCCTGGGACATCAGGCGTGTGCCACCATACCCAGATTTTTCAGATGCCTTCTGAGGGTAGAAATCTGGGCCTCATGCTTGCAAGATTAGCATTTTACTGAGTGAATTATCTCACCTGCCTTGGCAAATATAATTCTACCTCGGACACTACGCTGACTCTCAACAGGTCCAAGAAAGAAATAGGTTCCCCATTCTTGGGTCCCATCTTCAAATTTCAAAGACCTGTTGTTGCCATTCACCCACCCTTCTCTCTGCCTGGTTTTGTATGATCTTGGAGAATTTAGCCTGTTAATCGAGAGTTTCGTGCCAGGTGTGACGGCACACACCTTTAGTCCCAGCACTTGAAATTCTGTCAGTTCCAGGCCGGCCATGACTGAACAGCCACCCCCTGTCTCAGCACCCTTAAACTAGAAGACATCAATCGACAGGAACTGATTTCCACATAGTCTTATAAATATCTGTATTAGGAAAATCATTTAGGTTGATTTACTTCATTTTAAAAGAATTTTGCTTTGCTTTTTTTTTTTAACCAATTTTATTTTCTTCCCTATTTGGTATTCTCTCTATATGCATAGAGTTGGAGAAAGGTTAATTTTATTCTTCTTAATAGAACACAATTTAAATTAAAACCTAATACAATCTCATCCTGAATTTTTAGAACACTTATTGAATTTTTCACAGAAGCACTAATAGTATAAAGAGGTAAGTTATTTTTTGGTCCTGACTACATACTACTTTTTATCTAATAAAAGAATTGCCTAATTTGCTTCTTATGCCAGAGGAAAACGCTCAAACAAACAAAAAAAATAACTTTTAAATTCCTATTTTGTCATGACATTAATTTAAAATGTTGGCATAAATGTGTATATTTAGCCACCACTACCCTGCCCAATTCTCTCCCTCTTCACCCCGCTCGTAGGTTTATGTTTTCATTGCCTGTTGAGAAAAATTTAGGAGCTCTACAGGCGTCTACAGATCCAACTCTGCCCTACTCTCTGGTATTTCATTGTCACTGGGATCACCCGTGTCTCCTAATCCGTGTTCCTCCACACCCAGCACAGCCCAGTGTTAGGGGCAGCACAAACCTTTGTTGGTCACCTCCCAAGAGACTTCAAAGAGCAATAAGTCTTCGACGGGGAGTCTTTCGGCTTCCCAGACAGGGAGCCCACTCAGGGAAGTCACAGATAAGGACCGACCTCTGAGCATTCTTCTCCCGGCCTCTGGTGCCTTTGGGAACTTGTTTCAGCTAACTGCAGTAGCAGGAGATGAGTGCAGAGCACGGGCTAAGAGGTGACAGCCTTGGGTTCTGCTCTGCAGGCCAAACTGGCAAGGTGAGGTCACATGAACTCGCAGCCGGCCGAAGCGTGCCCAGCTCCTGTGCTGCTGCTTTTCGGGGCACGTCTGGAGAAGGCAATACTCACAGTTAAAATCCACACAGACACCTCCCCTTCCCCCCCCCTCCCAAAAAATCGCAAGTGAAACCTGCTTGTTCACAGCGGGGCAGGCAGCCAGAGGACAGAGTGACAAGAGTCCAGTCCTTTAGCCCCTGTCCTTTAGACCAAACTCCTACTGGAATAAGTGCTCCCTAGATACGTATTTCATCATCTGCAGACACAGGAGCAGACTTTCCCTCCCAGCATCTGCAGACTGTGGGGCACCGGGCACCTTGCTGCAGTCTCCCCTCTGGCTCTCCCTCTGTACTCCTCCTTATTTTACCCTCCATGGACAAACTGCATTGTGCTGAGAGGCCGACTATTGAGCCGCCTTATTTCCTTATACAAAAGCATAAACCACCACGCCTTTGTGCATGACACAGAACGAGCGCAATTTAGGCTCTTTGATGATTGTCAGTCCCCATTTTAATGGCTGGATAGAAATGAATCTTAGTCACATTTGTAGATTTTAAATGTCAGGTATTACGGGATTGATAGTATTTGATAATTCGGTGGAGAGGAAAGTATTCAAATATGAGAGGAAGTTGCAAAAGAAGCGAGGCTCTGAGCTTTCAGCAGGATTGCACCACCAGTAAATGCCACATATTGCTTCTCCCTGTGTTTGTCAGTGTGCAGCTGTGTGTGGGACAGTGTGCTTATTCATACGTGCAAATACACATCCACACCCCCCCACCCACATCCACACACTACTGTTATTCCTAAAAGACACACACAATATGCTCAATTTTGAGCCACGTACTTTACAGTGTTTTCTTTTTTTTAGTTTACTGTCACCATGTCTATATTACCATGCTTTTCTTCTTTCTTAAGATTTTTGATTGATGCTTTCCCCAAATATTTTTTATGTTTGAATTTCAAGAATTGTCAGGCCAGTAAGATCATTCAGCAGATAAAAGAGCTTGCTGTCTAGTCTGATGGCCTGAATTTGATCCTAGAACCCACATGGTAGAAATAGACAGTCAACTCCTGCAAGTTGTTATCTGACTTTCATGCTTATATTGTTGCCCATGCATATACATACACACATACATACACGTGCATACATGCACACACATGCACATACAAACACAGGTGCACCCACATACACACATGCACACATGTGCACACATGTACACAGATACACACATGCACACATACATACATTTTCATACACATATGTACACACTATCCTCAAATAAACATAGTAGAAAAATTTAAAAATAGAATTTTTGAAATTCTCACAAAATGACTTAATTATTAATACAATATAGAATCTATTTTTATGTTTTCAGCAACATTGTTTAGAGTTGCTCTAATTTACCTAAGCCTGTTTTGATTACTCAAGGTGGGTAAAGTCATATTACATTGTAAAGCATAATTACATCTATAGATGTATGAACGTCTGATGTGGAATGTCCTTCTGTATATGTGCTGCTTGTATTGGTTAATGAATAAAGCCACTTTGGCCTATGGCAGGGCAGAATATAGCCAGGCTGGAGGGGATATAGATAAAGTGTAGGTGGAGTCAAGGAGACCTTATGTAGCTGCTAAAAGACAAAGAAACTGGAATGCCAGAAATTTACCAGTAGGCCACAACCCCATGGTGATTCTCAGATTAAAAGAAATGGGCTAATTTAAGATGCAAGAGTTAACTAGAAATATGCCTAAGCTATTCACCAAACAGCAGTTTAGTTAATATAGTTTCTATGTGATTATTTTAGGTCTGGGCAGCCAGGAATGAACAAGTAGTCTCTGTCGTACCTGCTGCCTGGGGCATGGTTCCACATAAGACCTAAAAAACTTAAGAAAAAAAAGAGGACTTCTAGACCCACAAAAATGGGAGCCAAGTGCAGCTTCTTGGTAGCCGCATTTTTTTTTTCAGAAACTCGCTGTTTGCTGGAGGCAACTAGAGGCACAGATCCTTTATGTGATATGAGAGGTCTTTCTGATTCAATGTTAGCAGCAAAAAATTGCACAGCTTCTTTTAAAATCCGGCTTCCTGGTTCATGCTGGCAGAACAAACTCGGACTCTTTCAAAAAGTCCTGCACTTAAATGGGGTCTGTGAGCATCATGTTACAAATTGTTAATGGTGACATAGGCCTGCTGTGTCCTAGGAGCTGGGGTGGTGAGCACGGCTCACAGATGCAGTGAACATGCCTCCTCCATGTTGGACACAACAAATAGGCAGGGCCATGGAGTTGGCCCTAGCCATGTCCACTTGGCATTAAAAAAACAACAGTGCTCCTGGACAGAAAATAATTACAGATATGCAATAAAGACAGATTCAGATGAAAAAGACCACTAAATGTGTCATGGTATTGGATAAATGTATATAGGCTTGGGAGAGAGAAGAAACATTTATAAAAAGAAGTAAACGTTTTTTTTAAAGTAAAATCTTTAAAGAGACAGAATACAGACAGTCATAGATCAAAAGAGTAAAGAAAAATAAGCCATGTAAAGATGGAGTATACACAAAAAGTTTGGATTATGTATATTATTGTGTTTCCTTTGATTTTTTGAATGTGAATGAGTTAAGTATAGAGAAACATTTCATTGTACAGGCTGCTAAGCTAAACCAACATATATACTTTAGAGGTATATTGACTTCGAAATTTGGGATTAAGGCTATATTGCTTTGAAAAAGAGGTTCTGCTTTTGTTTTCACAGAGGATGAGTACCTGTGGTGTCTTTCTCCTTTAGCAGCTACATGGTGCCTCCTTGACTCTGCCTACTCTCTTTCTAGATCCCTTCCAGTCTGGCTATATTCTGTCCTGCCATAGGTCAAAGCAGCTTTATTCATTAACCAATAAAAGCAACACACATACAGAAGGATATTCCACATCATCTCCCCTTTTTTGTCTAATTAAAAGGAAGATTTCTAACTTTAACATAATAAAATTACATACACAAAACAGGTATCAAGCAAGAATATAGTTACAATATTTAATACATTTATATTTGGTAAGTTAAGGAAAATACTCTATCATTTATCCAGTCTTTTTGAGTTTAAAGTTTTACATCTAATTTATCTTTTATCATAACTAAGGAAAACTATCTGTCTTCAACTCTTCAAAGATCACAAAAGGCTATAATATTACCTAAGTAAACAGGAAATACATAGAAAGCAATTTCAAACACCAGCTGCCAGGCAGAACCTTACTAGTAGGTCATAACCTCATGGTGACTCACAGATTAATAGAAATGGGTTAATTTAAGATGTAAGAGTCAGCTAGAAATATGGCTAAGCTATTGGTCAAACAGTGTTTTAATTAATATAGTTTCTGTGGGTCTGGGCAGCCAGGGACAAACAAACAATCTCTGTCTACAAAATATGTTTTCCAGGATTCACTGACATTTCAAAAATTCTTATCCTTTCCTATTATTATACTTATAACTGCACATTTTATTGCTTATTTGTTTGAAGTCCAACAATAAAGCTTATATGGATAACTTTACAAATCAAGTAAAGGGCTGGTGAGATGGTGCAGTGGGGAAAGGATCCTGCAGCAAACCTGGACACTTGAGTTCCATCCAGGGACTTTCTCAAAAGGTGGGAGGAGAGAGCCGCATGCACAAAGTTGTCCTCTGACCTGCACATGTATACTGTGACATATATTCCTACTTTCTGTTACACACACACACACACACACACACACACAAAATATTTTTAAAGAAAATCAGGTACTACAATAGCATATGTGCCACATACTCAACATATCTGTGTCTCTGAAGAAGTGGCTTGAGTGTATTGACACACGAGGTTAACCACTGAGGGTTCTGCAAATACAAATTCCAGTAAAGCTGAACAGAAGGTCATGTTGACAAGAAGTGAGAAAGGGGTGCCAGGGAGGAGTCAGAGCTTATGTTTGCTGTGATCTCAGCAACCACTCAGTTGTGATTCAGTCTCTGGTGGGGGCAAGTCCAAAAAGCCACTTCTCAAGTTATGAGAACGTATGTCAATGCTTACTAAGTTTAGTTTCTATCTACCTGATACAGAACAATTCCATGTATGTCAAAGTGTTCAGCATAGGAGTAAAGTCACAGAAGAAGTTAGAGAGTAGTTGAAGAGGGTCTTAACTAATGCTCCATCCTGGCTACAGAATGTCTTTAATGATCTAGTCAAACCTCCCCCTAAAAGCAGAGGTCCCCACTGGAGGGTGAAGGAGCGAGAGGAAGCTTTCTTTTTTAAAGTTATTTTGAATATCATGCTATGGATATTTAATCACATAAAACACTTGAGGTGATGACCTTGGATGAATAAACATATTTTTGAAGGCACATCATATAAATAATCAGTAGGATATAAATTAGAGTGAATCATAAGGCTGACTCAAGTCTGTAAACATGCATATGTATGTACAAAGGGAAGCCCAATCAACAGGCTAGGTGGCTCTGTGCTAAAACTCAACAGGGATTGTCTCTAAGTGGTAGTGGTAATGTCTTATATACAGGACTTCAAGCTCACCAAATTGTACATGTATATACACAGTCACAAAGTAAATAAAATAGCTTTCAAAAGTACAATCATAGCACCTCATGGCTGTTTCATACATGTCCACTCTTGTTATTTTGAACTTTTAACAGATTTGTATGCTCTTATTTGTGGATGGATGTGTGTGTGCATGTGTATAAGAGTGCCCACACAGTCCAGAAGAGGGCTTCAGATCTGTAGAACTGGAATGACAGATCTTGGCGAGCCTCCCAGTGTGGTTTCTAGGAACCAGAGGAGCAGTCAGCACTCTTAACTGCTGAGCCATATCTCCAGCCCTATTTTGATTTTATTTTAAAATTCCTGGTTTCCCTTTTACTTTCTCATGACAAATTCTAACACATTCAGTGACATCTCCTAGGCACGTGTGGGCTACTGTGGAGTAGAGGGTGTTTTTTTTTTGTTTGTTTGTTTTTTGTGTTTTTTTTGCCAAACCTTTGCTTTTGTAATGGTGAATACCATTTTTGAAATTGTTATTTAAGTCAAGAGACATGAAATCCATGAAAC